TTGCTCGCTTCCTATTTCACACGGGTCGCGTGCTCCGCGGCTTCGGATCGATAAAAGAGTGCATCGATTTTCGTGCGAACCCCCGGAGAGGAGAGCCAGCCGGCGCCACGGAGGCCGCGCGCCCACCACCACCTCCACCACCCTCTTTCTCTCTACATCCATCGTCGTATTTCGCAATTAATCGCTCTGCTTTGCTTTTGTTTCCTCTTTTGTTTTTTAGGAAGATGTGGTTCGAGATACTGCCCACCTTCATGATAGTCTTCGTTGCCATGGCCATCCCGCACTACGCAGCCCGCGGTTTGAACTGGCTTATCGTGGGTAACTCCTATCGTCGCCAACTGCTCACCGGCTCCGAGACCACGAATTACTTGAGGGATTCACGGCTCACAGGACATCCCTACAAGATTCGCGGTCTCGACTCTCTCTTCGAGGAAGAGGCCCGTGATGACGACGAAGAATGCTACGACGGTGATGACGATGATAGCAATAATAATAAGAAAGACGGCGGAAAGGATGATTAGCATGCGGAGCGCGTGGTGTTGTTTTCGCATTGCAATTAGCGCTGAGGTCAGCCGGCTATAAATAGGCGCAATTAAAAATTATGATTTGATTCGATATTTGCGAGACATGTAAATTATTTAAATAAATAAAATGGAAACAAAAAATACGTACGAGGAACAACAAAATTTAATAATAAACGAAGCATCCTTCTGACTCGCGCGCTGCGGCGCTAACAGTCGTTGCGGTTGGCGGAGGGCCAACGGGCAGTCGGGGCGTCGCGACGCCTAAGTATGGACGACGAATTCCTGATGGTCGAGAACCATCTTCTTTCTCTCGCATTGCATTGGAGGAGCACCGATGTTTGTATTAATTTATGTTTTTAAATATTTTCTTAATACTATCTTTAGCTACTTAGGTGGTTAAAGAAGAGATCTTCAGCTGCTACAAAATGGTAACAGCGTCAGAGAAGAAATTAGATACGACTTTGCTACAATTTGTACAACTGGTACCGATTATTTTAAGTTTTTTTTTTATAAGAGTCTCCTATTAATCCTATCTTTAGTCACTTGCAGCATGGTTAAACCGAAACCCTACAGCTGCGAGAAACTGTACATGACTTTACTCGTAAAACCGGAACTATATTTTTTTTTTAAATCCTATTAATATTACAAAGATTATTAAAGAACTTTGTAATTACAAAACTGGAATATTATTTATTTTTTCATGTAATAAACACATTCACGCTATGGCTACTAATTTGGTTAATCAGAAATACAAAACTGGAAGCGGAAAACTAAATGAATGTAAGTTTTTTTTTAGCTATTGAAATGCTTAGAAATAAACTCTAAATACAAAAATCAAGTGCTCCTGTTAATCTTATCTTTAGCAATATACATAGTTATAGAGAAGATGTAATAAAGTGTCATCATCGATTTAAAATAATAGTAAATTTGTAAATCTGAATAAAAAAAATATTATTTTAAATTTATTACAATCCAGTCTTTATCTATAAGCATAGTTAAGTTTATTTTCTAATAGGCAACATTGGAACGGAGAAACGGTATTATTTTATGTTTTGAAAGATGTTCTTTATCCTGTGATTATGTACTTTTATGGTTAAAGAGTTGCAATAAAGTGATAAAATTAATGCGGTTTTACTACAAATTGTGCAAGTGAACCAATAAATTGTATTGTTTTAATTAAGATGCAGAACTGGAAGCGAGAAACGGTATTATTTTTGAAGTTGTTCCAATTGCAACCTCGTAATCACGTCGTGGTAAGTATATCAAAACTGGAAAAGAGTAAAACAACAATATCGTTTCTCTTAATCTTATATCGTTAGTTACCAAAGTTTTTAAATTTCCTAGTCCTAACTTCAGTTACTTCTATAGTTTTAACTGCGATAAAATGGTGACAACATCAGAGAAGAAACATAGACAAGCCTTTGCTCCAATTTGCAGAACTGGATATGAGAAACGGTATAATTTTTAGTCATTTTTATGGTTTTCGAAGGTGCTCCTCTTGGTCTTGCCTTTGGCTCCTACAGATTTATTGCGACCACTTTCTTTTCTTGCGTTGTGTTTGTATATGTTTGTGTGTGTGTGTGTGCACGTTTCCTTATGCCCCTTCTTACCATGAAGCACGTGAAATTTGAGAAGGCAAACGAAGCACAACACACCCGCAACCCTCGCTCACTTGGAAAGCTATCGGTTTCCCAGCTGAAATAAGAATCGGGGGGTGCTGCTGTCGCATAAATCATATCGTCGAGCCAGAAGTTAATGCTCTCACGAACTGTTAGACATGTTAAAGAAAAAATAGTGAAAGAGAAAGAGAGAAGATAAGAAAAAAATGAATGTATGTATTTTTGTGAGTGCGAGTGTGCAGTAAGTAATAATAAAAATGGGTTAGAGCCAAGGCGGCGGTGGTATTATTATTATCAGAGCGCCATAAATTCTTTCCCCTCTGGGCCCCGAAGGAAAATGTCATGCAATTAAGCACTTAATTCCTGAGGCCAAGAAATTGTAAGCGCGATAAGCGCGCATGAAACTAGAAGAGATTGTGGCCGTTTGAAGAAGAGAAGATTGGAAGTGTTATGGGTAAGGGCGGAAAATTTGGTTCGAAACTGTGCATCTCTTCGAGCGTGTGTGTTACGTAAATAACACACGAGGAGAAAGAGAAGTATAGAAATAAGAAGCGTAATCTTGTTTACGGCTGGGCGAGAAGTGACGCGGAAACGGGACCTTTTGGACGTACCGCACCTCTCCGACCCCTCCGCGCTTGATAAGCGAGTCCCGTGTTTGCGTGGACATTGGCCCTCTTCGACTCCGACATCTATACTTTTTATTTCGCTTTAACTTCTCTCTCTCTCTCACGCTCTTTCTCTCCATTAACTTCCACGTGTCGGATTGCTACTGCTTTTTTCTTTATTTCTTTCCTTCAATTCTCACGAAAGGAAGGAGGCACATACAAACACAAACCGATTCTAATCGCATTACGAATCCAGAAACCTTAGGAATACGCGCGCAACTAAGGATGATTGTGTGCTGTTTTTGTTGTCTTGGTTTGTTTCGAGGGCGAAATTAAAGAGCATGCAACTGTTTTGTGTGTGCGTGCAATAATTATATTCCGGCGCGAAGGCACGCACGACCCTCTCCGGCCGTCCTATAAATAATAACATTTTGCAAAATGTATAATTACGTATCCATGGCAACGACGGCCATAAATTTCCGAGGCGGCGCCGGCGTCGGCTCGCGGAGATCTCACGTGCCGGACGGCATTAGCGATATGCAAATCGCCTCCATACGGATCGATGAAACACCACCACCATCACCACCCCCTCTCACATCAAACGACGGCTGCTCGCATTCCAATTAATTTTCTTATATAAAACAGAATAAAAACATACTCTATATAAATATATATAATAATTTTCTTTGATTACGTTTCAAGTTATAATAACTGTTGAATTGCGTTAATAATAGTAATTGAGGCTCTCGGATTTTAATGGAGATAAATCTGAAGCGATTGATAATAATTGAAGCCCATCTGCAAGATTCGTCATAATTCGATGCTTTATGTTATGCAACACACGTTACAACCTACATTGATTAATTTGTGTTATATGCAACCCCAGTGTCATAATTAAATTTGTATCAACAATAAGTTTTTAGGTAGATCAGCAACCCTATGCATTGTTTGTTTAATGATTTTTCATTATAAATGTGTCTTTATTGTTGTTTATTTTTAGTTTTATATGACTGTTACAATAAATGTTATTACTTTTATAGTTTCTTTGCATGAAATCACTGTAAAGCGATAGGACAAATTGTGTAACCAATGGAAATAACGGACGAATGAGATTCGGACATGAAGATGAGCGCAGCATCCCTGTATCCTAAGTAGAAGTGATTGGTGCATGCGCCGGGTCTTCACTTCAACCAATAAGACTCGACGATTCAGAAGCATCCCCCTTCTCAATTGCACAAAGAATCAAGGGGAAAGTGAACGATTGAACTGCGCTTTAGCATTGGTTGATAAGTTACCGAAGGGTGATTGAAATTAGGCTGCAATCATACAAAAAAGGATTGAAGGGGTAATGAAAAATAATAAACACAATAATAATTATTTTATTTATTTTATTCTTTTAATATATTCATTATAGAAGCGAATTATCACAAAATGACAATAGAGGAATCAAAATAGTAGTAACAGTAAATATAGAGTTAAGTTAATGGGAGATTTGAGGGTTTCAATGTTTCACAACAATGTGTAAAAAAATTTGCGCACTTTTTTTGTGTTTTCAGTTAGAAAAATGGAGTTATTATTAATCAATTATTTATTAATTATTAAAGTAGTAACAAAAAAATAGTAGTAGAAATATTGCTAAGAAGTGATTGACTAAAGAACGTTTTGACTCTTGTGTTCCGTGTGTGTATGTTTCTTGGAGAAAATATCAGTCAGCACCAATAGAGAAAAAATCTCTTCGTCTTTTCTTCATATTTCGTTATCAATCTCTCCATGGAAAAAAAAATAAAATAGTAATAATTTCTACGAAGCTCTCAATCTTCAGCTTCGTCTTGTTCATCTCATCATCATTGTCATCATACACAAACAAACAAATTAATAATATAAACACATATATAAACATTCACGCTTTATACAATAATTATATAGTCTTATTTAAACAAAAAAAAATATATGGGTATGCTAGATCTTCCAGTGGCTCTTCGCTGTTTCTCTCGAAGGTAAGAATTGTTGCTGCGAGGAACCGCAAGGGAAGAAATTAAGTGTAATTGCGAATGCGAAGGGGAAGTTAAGAAAACAAAATAATAAAAAAAATAATAGAAGAGTTATGAGAACCGCCACCAAGTTTTTTTTCTTTTGCATTAGTTTCCCTTGACTGTGTGTAATTTTTCTTGTGTTTTTTTTTAATGTACACGCACTCGTTCGTGTTTGCGTTCAAAGCCACTGGAAAAGGTAGAGAGAATGTGGGGAAATCTCTCGACACGAGCAAAAGCGAATCGAATCGAAAAATTTCCCAATTAAAAAAAAACAATATTATTTGCTCTACAGAAAAAAAATATAAATTCAATTTTGGGGTCACCGTTATTGCTGATGACCTCCTGCCGCGCCGCTCCCGTGTCCGACAAATATTGGCAGTATTCGTTGAGTGTAGAAGAATGAGGAGTAGCATTTTACTGTCGGTCGTTTTTGCGGGGGGCGGCGGCGGCGGCAGTTCAAATTGAACACATCATAATTAAATATAATATAATACATTAATATCTCGTTATTAAATATTTTACTTAACTAGTATTTATAATATTTATATACTTTTATAAATCGATCGAGAGTATTTGAATATTTTCGTTTTGCATTTGGGACGGATGTTTTAGTCATTTTTTTTTAATCGTTATTTACGTGAGGTAGTCTGGACTGGGCTCAGCCATGGGTTCGGGCGTGGTAAACAGCGGGTTCGGGAACTCGGGCGGATGCGGCAGCGGTCCGGTAGCTTTCGGCCTGCGACGGTAGGCCATCAGCCAGCAGGAAACCGCAACCGCTACGGCGACGAGGGCCAGAAGGGCGGTGATGATCAGGGCTATGATAAAGCCGATCATCGATACGCAGATGTCTTCGACGCGTTGCGCGTCAGCCGACTGCTGCGGATCCGTGAACCGCTCCTCGCGTCTCTCGAACGTCAGGATGGCGTTCGACTGGATAGTGATTTCTTCGCGCAGCTGACCGTTGAGCAAATCGCCGGTGACCGCAAGTTCGGTGCCGTTGTCATCGTCGCTGTTGTCGTCGTCGATGGCACGTCTTCTACGGCCGAACGCGTTGTAACCTCTGCAATTGACGGGTTGACACTTGCCGAAGCACACGCGGATGTTGCACTGAAAGCGGATGTTGTCGCTGTTCGGGAACTTGAAGGCGTCGAAGCTGGCCAGAAGACTTTGCGTATCAGGGTTGTAGTCCCATTCGCCGAAGATGTCCGGTTCTGTAGCGCAGCCGTGTTCGTCGGTGACAATGTACTCGTTCTCCATGTTATCTTCCATAGTCTTGGCAACGCAGCTTCTGGCGAATCCACCGTAAATGGAGCCAGGCTGCACTTCCACCTGCAGTTGTAGTTTGTCACCGATTTCGGCGGAATTTATTTCTTGCCCGGTGGGGGTGACAATTCTCATCAGGCAGGTTGGTGGTGGTCCGGTGTTGGCGATAGTTCCAGCCGTTGTCAGCATGGAAACATTGAAACCGAGTGTCACGTTTTGTTCCCCAGTCTGGTACATACATTTGATGTGGTAGGCTTGAGCCTTGTAGGTAACCAGTTTCGGATGTTTCTGAATGACGAGCACGAAGCTAGCCTGGCCGTTGACGTGGATAAGACCGCAGTTACCGAATTGTACCTTGAAGATCTCATTTCTTGGTACTGAGTCCGGTGGAAGAGTAACGACTCTGCGACATTGCTCATCCTTGCTGTGTCCCTTGACATACAGC